CACTGTATATTTCTCCCCTCTCGTGCACATTTTCACTCTCAAAATGTGGTGAAAACGTGGTGATTACGGTGATCGTATCCTCAGCTTCAGCAGCTGTACATCGACAGGTATCAGCAGACTGACACCTGTTTTCTCACCTTGATTTTCTGTTGAACCATCGCGAGGCGTTCAGGCACACAAACAGAAACAGACATTAACACTCCTGTCTCATGGTTTTATGTTTGTGTTGCTTCACTCAGTATGAGGAGCAGAAACATTAACTCAAGCTCCACCTACAAACTGATGTAGTGGAAAGCTCCAACAATAACCAGCAAGTGGAGCGTGATTAGGGGCTTTTTGTCAGAACTACTGCTTCCAAGGCTACAAACACTCAACTTAATTGTATAATATTTAGACAAAATCCAATAAGAATCCTCTCCAGGCCTCTCACCTCTTCCAGCAGCTTGTTTTTTTATGTCATTTTTTATTTTTAATTCATTTTTAAAAACTCTGAAGTCCAGTTTTCACAACAGTAATGTTCAGTTCTTTGTTTGTTTGTGGCAGCAGGTGGAGAAACGTCTAAACACGGTGAAAAACTGACTCGTTTCTGCAGCCAAACACCCAGTTACTGAACTGGAACACTGGAATTTCCCCCTTGTGGGACCAATAAAGTCTCACCCCTACCCTGAAAACCTGAAGCTCTGTGTGCACAGAATAATATTTTACATGTAAAAATGTGAAGTATGAGTCAGGGCTCAGTAAAAACAGAAGTCACACCTGCAGACTCTCTCTCTTACCCTGCACTGTAGTTCGTACTCATTGATGACTTCTGAGAATCGCTCCTCGTGACTCAGGCCGGTGCCACCCGGGTCCAAGCTGCCAAACTGCCAAATCAGAACAACACAACACACCTAATTAATTACAATGACCTGCCAACCAACCTAGCAATCGATGGAAGCCTCTGTTAAAAGTGAAAAATAAAAAGTCATCTACAGCATCAGAGCACAGAGTGAGACCAAGAAACGAAGTCTCAGAGGAAATTTTCATTAATAATTTATCAGATATCTTACACCACAGTGTGTGTGCATGCATGTGTATGTTCTGGGAAGTGAGATCCTGACACACACACACACACACCATAGAGGCTCATTTAATTTTTTTATCTAACATTTATTTAACCAGGTAAAATCCCACCGATCTTATCAAACTCTTTTCCAAGGGAGGCCTGGTCAAGACAGCAGTGTCACAACACAGCATGAAAACACAAATATAATGTACAACAACAGCACTGGACAACGCACAGAACGAGCCAAGAACTGAGCAGTTTATAAAGATATCTGTCATTGTTAGCAACAGAATTTACAATGGCCTGACAGAGTCTGTGACAAGTTTAATTTGATGATAAATATGTAAGACTGCCGTTGACAGGCACTCAGTGGTTCAGATGCCTAATACTGGTTCTAACTGGTTTCCATCCAGTTAAAGGAACATTCTGTTAAGTGCATCCAGTAAGAGACAAAACACTAAAATCTTACTTGTCACCTTCAGCATGCACATTATACAACAACACTCCAGACTTTGCACATTCACCTGCAGACACGGCCTCCAACAGGAACCAGTTTACACATGAAATAAGTTAATACTTTGTAGCGCCACCTTTTGCTGCGATTACAGCTGTAAGTCGCTTGGGGTATGTCTCTATCAGTTTTGCACATCGAGAGACTGAAATTTTTGCCCATTCCTCCTTGCAAAACAGCTCGAGCTCAGTGAGGTTGGATAGAGAGCGTTTGTGAACAGCAGTTTTCAGTTCTTTCCACAGATTCTCGAGTGGATTCAGGTCTGGACTTTGACTTGGCCATTCTAACACCTGGATATGTTTATTTGTGAACCATTCCATTGTAGATTTTGCTTTATGTTTTGGATCAGTGTCTTGGTGGAAGACAAATCTCCGTCCCAGTCTCAGGTCTGTTGCAGACTCCATCAGGTTTCCTTCCAGAATGGTCCTGTATTTGGCTCCATCCATCTTCCCATCAAGTTTAACCATCTTCCCTGTCCCTGCTGAAGAAAAGCAGGCCCAAACCATGATGCTGCCACCACCATGTCTGACAGTGGGGATGGTGTGTTCAGGGTGATGAGCTGTGTTGCTTTTACGCCAAACATAACATTTTGCATTGTTGCCAAAAAGTTCGATTTTGGTTTCATCTGACCAGAGCACCTTCTTCCACATGTTTGGTGTGTCTCCCAGGTGGCTTGTGGCAAACTTTAAACAACACTTTTTATGGATATCTTTAAGAAATGGCTTTCTTCTTGCCACTCTTCCATAAAGGCCAGATTTGTGCAGTATACGACTGATTGTTGTCCTATGGACAGAGTCTCCCACCTCAGCTGTAGATCTCTGCAGTTCATCCAGAGTGATCATGGGCCTCTTGGCTGCATCTCTGATCAGTCTTCTCCTTGTATGAGCTGAAAGTTTAGAGGGACGGCCAGGTCTTGGTAGATTTGCAGTGGTCTGATACTCCTTCCATTTCAATATTATCGCTTGCACAGTGCTCCTTGGGATGTTTAAAGCTTGGGAAATCTTTTTGTATCCAAATCCGGCTTTAAACTTCTCCACAACAGTATCTCGGACCTGCCTGGTGTGTTCCTTGTTCTTCATGATGCTCTCTGCGCTTTAAACAGACCTCTGAGACTATCACAGTGCAGGTGCATTTATACGGAGACTTGATTACACACAGGTGGATTCTATTTATCATCATTAGTCATTTAGGTCAACATTGGATCATTCAGAGATCCTCACTGAACTTCTGGAGAGAGTTTGCTGCACTGAAAGTAAAGGGGCTGAATAATTTTGCACGCCCAATTATTCAGTTTTTTATTTGTTAAAAAAGTTTGAAATATCCAATAAATTTCGTTCCACTTCATGATTGTGTCCCACTTGTTGTTGATTCTTCACAAAAAATTACAGTTTTATATCTTTATGTTTGAAGCCTGAAATGTGGCAAAAGGTCGCAAAGTTCAAGGGGGCCGAATACTTTCGCAAGGCATTGTACACGGGATAGACAGATTAATAGCAACACCTGTCAGTATGATGCAGCACAGTTCAACAGTGATCACACAGGTGAATCAACACCTCGGGCTGTGACGGGCACAGTAACTGCTGCACGACTGACCAAGCGTCATTCACCTCTGTCCAGCCTCAGCCTGTGGCAATGACTGACCATTCGCCAAACCAGATGTGGATGGCGGAGAGACTGTGCCGTTACCTTGTCGTGCAGCAGCAGGTCCAGGTCTCTCTGCAGCCGGCTCACCGAGCTCTCCGCCTCAGTCAGCTTCTGCTTCACAGCACTCAGCTCGTCCTCCAGACGAGCGTTCTCCTG